CCAGAAATTGCAGTCTTTTGCCAGAGGTACCTAGTTTGACCAGTAATTTCAGCAGGTTTCTTTAAATATTCTGCTCTTGTCTTCAGGACTGGACATGTTAGTTGAGAACAGCGCTAGGCTGCTTTGCAGCACAGGTGCTGTTAAGATGAGCCAAATAAATTTTGCAAATTTATGTTACAAAATCAGAGAAGTAATTTTGATGCTACAGAGGATGATTAAATAGTCTCTACCTAGGAAAGTCTTGTAACTAACCTAGTGTGAATATTTAATTTGTGTGCAGCTGCCTCACAGAGAGCACTACAGGGAACCTGCAATGGACGCGTGCACAAAAGCCGGGAAGATAAAAGTGATAAAATTTATTTCCTCCGTTCGTTCAGACAGCAATCTGGATCTTGTTTCCTTGATTGTCGCTCCTCGGCCTGCCCGGTCCTGGGGGTGCTGGATCCCGAGCAGGATGGACGGCTCTCCCCGTGATCGTCCCGCTGCTCGGCAGCGCGTTGTTAATGTGCGGCACCGCCGCGGCGGTTAGAAAGGCGCTGGTGTCTCGGTGACTGTGCCGAGCGCTCACAGCTTCACTGTCACATGGACAAACATTTCTGTGAAATGCCAACACTTGTGCAATGACAGCTTTTCTAACTTTCCCAGGAAGAGGAAGCCAAACAGCTTGTGAGAGATGCCATTGCAGCTGGCATATACAATGATCTGGGCTCCGGCAGTAACATAGATATCTGCGTTATAAGCAAGAACAAGCTGGATTTTCTCCGTCCTTACGACGTGGCCAACAGGAAGGGGGACAGGTTAGTAGTCCTGAAGCTGTACGTTACCCGTGCTCTTCCCAGCAATTCCTATTTTCCGTAATACTAAATGTTGTCAGAGTAATGACTGGGTCTGTGTACTGAGCACCAGCTAAACGACGAAACCGAATCAGTGGCTGTACCTGCAGGGGAGGCGGCTAGCGGGGCGTGCAGGTGGGTGAAGGAAACGAACCTCATGGGCTTACCTGCCCCACGTCACCCTGCCAAGGGGCTGCGCCCGTTGCAGGCGTTTGAGAAAGTACTGATGTTTCGCCTGTGACTGCGCAGGTACTTGGGCTTCTTGTGCTGTCAGGTGGCAGCGTGCTCTTGTTCTGCTGCGTTCTGGCTGAAGTGGGTGTCAGCCAGGCTGGTGGCATCACTGCGCCCGCTGCCGCGTGGGGATTTGATCCGGCAGCGTCGGGCAGCGGGGCCTGGCCTGGGCTCACTGCAACTGTCCAGCCCCCCCCCCAGGCCGAGGGAAGGGCTGCACAGCTGTGCCCCTCCCGCCCATGCTTCCCTCCGGTGACACGGCTCTGCCGCTGCTCTCCTTAAGGCAGTAGTTCTGAATGCTTTGCATCCCGTGTCACAGCATTCAGCTGTGTCACAACATTACCCTGAGGTGTGGAGCGCGTGGTCCTGTACTCCTGGTAGCGCTCAGGACCCAGAGGGGATGGGATCCTCAAGTGAGCAGAACTGGAGGAGCTGGCAGACTTTAGTCCCTCTAAACCCCCAGCCCGCTGCCCGGTGAACTCCGTCATTGCCTCATCAGCGCAGTCGCAGCCCCCAAGGCAGCTGAAGGATTTTGCAAGATGTGCTTTGGTGTTATGTGTAACAGGTTGTGCAACTCCTCACGCCGCTGCCAGAGTACGAGAGTTGAAAGGAACTGCTGTTCCCCTTCTGAGGCAGACGCTGTGGCCAAAGCCACGAAGAGCTGTGCTGCTCCAGTTAAAGGGCTTTTGGCCTCCCCGCTGCACAGCTCGGCGCGTGGCGCGTTGTTCTGCGCAGCAGCTGCTGCAGGGGCTCAGCCAGGAGAGTGTTTATTGCGCATCTTAAGTGAGAGTTTGGATTCCCCCCTGTAAATGGGTGCGAAGGGCGACGATGCCTTTGGGCAGATGCAGTTTTCAGAAGCACGACCTGATAGAGGCAGTCGTTGCGTTAAACATCAGCGAGTTTCAGCACAGAAACCCAAAGCCAATACATTGGCAAAATTATTACAGAGTTGCAAAAAATAAATAAATGGCTTGTTCTGCACGTCCTGCGCTGTAAGGAGCGCCCTGGTTTCTGTAAGGCAGCCTTTCCAGTTACTCAGTCATTTATTTTTTTTTTTTAATTAAGACAAGGTGTTTCCTAAAATTGCTAGTTTACCTGAAACGCTGTCAGCTTAGATTCTGGAGTAAGCACGGGTCCTTTACTTACTTTGGACTTCTATAGAAAACTTCTGGAGAAAGCCAATTAGTTCTGCTACTCGAAATGAGACTTTTCTTCTGTGGTGCCACCTTCCAGCTCAACTTCCACCGGTTTGTTTAACAGGTACGGCAGATACAAGTGTGAGAAAGGAACGACTGCTGTTCTCACCGAGAACGTAGCGCTCCTGGAGCTCGAGGTGGTGGATGAAACCGTGCAAACCATGGACACGTCCTGAGCCGCCGCGCGCAGCCCCGCTGTCCGGGGGCTGGAAGCCTTCCAGCGGGTGCAGAATAAAGGGTTCTGACCGTGCTCCTCCTCGGGGTTTTTATGCGGTGCTGGTTTCTTTTACTGGTTTTCCCTTCTTACGCTGTTGAAAATGAGAGGCTGATGCAGAATGGAACTGCAGGATCTTACCCCGCTTTTTGGTGTGGGGGGCTGTGGGGCCTTACCCTCAAACATCTGTGTCACCCCGCGAGCGCGCCGGCTCCTGGAGCGGCTGCCAGCAGCGGAGATGCACGGCTCCGAACCCCTCCCTCTCGGGCCGGCAAGGGCGAGGCCGTCCCGCGCCAGCCCCGTTCCGTGGGTGGTCAGGTCATGTTCTGTTCTCCATGGCTGCGTCCCAGATCAGGCAGCGGTAGGACAACGGTGAGCACTGGGGGAGCCGAGCTGCTGCCCCTGACCCACAGCCGACTGCTGGTGCTTGCGTTACTGCAGGGAAAGAACGGGCACGGTAATGTTCATTCTCCCCTGTTGTTGTAGACAGAGGGAACACAGGGAGAGGACCCAGCGCCCACCCTGGTACGCACATTTTCATACACGGCCAGAGGCAGCACAAATCAAAGTCGGACTGTCATCTTGTTACTTGCCTGAATTTTTCTACAAGCTTCTGTTTGGACCTTTTTTGTCGTAAAATCCTGGGCTTGTACTACTTGACAGAAACTGATTTCAAACTATTTCATACAGTACCACATACTCCTTTTTAAACCCCCCCCAAAACCAAGAGCAGCTAGCTGGGAAAATCCCCCTACAGAATCAGCTAGTCAAAAGGGAAGGTGCATCAGCCCCGCTCAGCTTCAGGTTAACTGGGGCCAGGCCCTCGGCCGAGCGTCCTGCAGCCGACAGCCCCAAACCCAGCGTCGGACACGGTGCCAGCGCCAGGGTAAGATGCTCCTGCGTCGTTCTCCATCGGGACAACTGGCGCAGTTTATGTCGTCTGTTCATCCACTGCCTGATAGCTGGAAGGAACAGTTCCACAAATACTTAGACCTGTTTTCAGTAGGGTTTTTTTCACCTTCTCCTTAATATTGGACTTTTTTTTTTTTAAAACAAAGGTGTTTATTTTGTAAATAATTTTTTTTATTTATCTAAAAATGCACAATTGCAAAAAATTACCTTTTGAAATACATTTACTTATAAGCACTAATAAATCTTATGTAGCAAGAAAGTGACCAGACTTCTCAAGATACTCAAACTGAAGCTGAGCTTCCCTGGAAGCCAGAGATCCTTTTCCGTGTTACACCGAGAGGCGCAGCACAACCCTCCCTCGAACGTGTAGCTGCCACCACGGCTTAAAGGAGAGCTGCAGTGTAAACGCGACCGGCGGCCGCCCCGGAACTGCTACCGAAGCCGGGGGTAAGTTCAGCGAGCTGGCACGGGAAGGGTGGAAGCCGTCTGGTGCCTCCACTGCCCCCCCCCGCCGATCCGCATTTCCCGAATCTCACGAGAGCAGCAGGCTCAACGTTCTGCTGAGGAGACTCAGCACAGCGGCACCGTGCAGTAATGATGCCAACGTTATTCACAGCAATGAACAGCTCTGCTGCTCTATATAAACATTTCAAAACTTGATGGGAAGTAGTCGAAAATGGCACTGCAGTTTTCCTTTAAGTAGAGCAAATCAGGTTAAAAAAAAAACAAAAATCCACTAAAAGCACATATATATGTAGGTAACCCTCTAACCCTAATCCTACTTCCAAAAAATTAAGGATTGTATGGTTTTCTTAAGAAAAAAAACAAAACCCAACAGGCACAGGCTGCATTTGAACTGTCACACGCAAATCTGCGCTTTGGCATTAGCCGCCGCCGCGCGTGGCCGCAGCGCGGTCGCAGCGCGGGCTGGGGG